TGAGAACAACAGTGATTTTTGTCTTCATATTTTCTTATAGGATATAATCATAGGCAGCACTGAAAGAAAAAATCTACCACATTTCCTAATATTATTAATGAGAGGACTTATATTCAGCAAAATAATGTTTATTTATTCAAGGACACTAGTCTATAAGTTTCTACCTGGTTTTAGTAAATATCAGATTCACCTATATCTGATCTAATCTCTTCATATTTTTGAATCTATTCTAATCTCTTTATTTTTTCATCTTAAATTTCAGGAAAAAAAATTCTCAAATGGCTGAAGAGAATTTCACAGCTGTTACTGAGTTCATTCTTTTGGGACTGACAGATTGTGCCAAACTATCAGTTGTGCTTTTTGTGTTGTTCCTGGTGATTTATGTGATTGCTTTCATGGGGAATCTGGGCATAATCTCTTACTCCCAACTACCCTGAAACTCCACACACCCATGTACCTTTTCTTCAGTTGCCTTTCGTTTGTAGATGCCTGCTCTTCATCAGTTATTGCACCAAAAATGCTGATCAGCTTCTTTGTTGTGAGGGAAAGCATCCACTTCTCTGCCTAGTACAGCACTTCATTTTCTGCTTGTTCGTTATCACAGAAGGCTTCTTGATAGTGGTGAAGTCATATTACCATTAGGTGGCCATTGTCAGCCATTTGCTTTACAGTGTAGCTCTCTCTAAGTGAAAGTGCATACGGCTGGTGATTGAGTCAAACATAGGTGGAATGATTAATTCTGATAAACATAATAAACTTGAATCTAAGTGGCTCAATATTGTAGTCCACTTCTGAGATGTTCCCACGCTGACTTTTGCATGAATGAGTTGTAGCTATTAACCCTCTCTGAAGTCATTGCTATGGTCACCTTCTGTAATCATTTTCTATGTGTTCATTATTTTTGCTATCCTGAGATCTACTCTTCATCAATCAGACAGAATGCTGTAACCATATTCTATTGAAACTTAAGCTTTAGATACTTTTAGCCAAGCTCCTGGTATTCTGCAGAACTGGAGAATGTGATTTCTGTGTCCCATATACTAGAGAGTCCCATGTTAAACCTACTGATATACAATCTGAGAAACAAGGACCCAAAGGCTGCCTTGAAAATGGCCATAGAAATAAAATATTTCCTGTGTCAATTTTGTCACTGTTAATCCTACAACATTCTACTGGTCAGTTCTCACTTCTGAGAATTTTGTGAATGCTAAAGTTTCTAAGTATTTTACAGATACTCTCATTCTGTACACTAATGTGTTATATGAAAAGGCAGCTAAAAAATAAAAGCTACTGAATTTATATACCTGCATTACAAAAACAATAGCCTATCACATGGGTCTCTGATATTCTAAATTATCAATCGTAAAATCAATGCAAAAGCTTACGTGATCAGATGTAAATCTGATGTCGACAATTCATACAATACACATGTAAATGTAATAGTAATAAAATGTAGACATAATGTGGTTATAAAAAAGAGAATAGTTAAAACCACATTTACCATATTTGATGTATGACAATATTAACATTATTTATTCACATATTTAAATCATTATTATGTCATGAACTTTTTAAACTACTTTATATTTTCATGTTATTTTAATTGTATTTACCAATTTTACAGAAAATTAATAATGTTACTTAGTGTTTTATTTATTTTATGCATTGAAAGAGATATGTTTAGATTGACTATAAAACTCACCAACTAAACTAGTCAGTAGGTTCAAGATGCATTACATTTACTTAATTTTAATAAACTATACAGGACAGATACAACTGAATGCATAGTGAATCTGAAGCAGATGTCTAGTGACCCCTGGCTCTAGCAGATGTCTAGAGCCTCCAATGAACAAAACATTCTGCACTTAGAACAAATATGGTCATGAGAGACTTAACTAAATGTGTATAGAAACTGCAGCTCAGTACTTCCTAAGGTTTATTATGGCCCTTTGACAATCACAGAGTCTTGTATGCTTTGAGCAACAGATATTAGTGTCAACTAAATTTCCATTAATAAACCTTTGAAAGTGGATTTTTATTCATCTGTGTTTCCATATGTGCCCTATGAATTCCTTGACTTGATTCTGGAAGTCGTATCTGTCAAGAAGAGATGCACAGGTGTCTCTGAGGCTAGAAGTAATTATACAAACCAGTCGCTAAGCCAGAACTATCTGTTTTTTACCCTGGACTTTGGTCATTAGCTATTCACCACATATGCCTTAGGAAGTTTTTTGAAATTTTTGTTACAGCAGTTTCTACAATTAAATATATTGTGTTTAAGTTCTTATTGTTCTACAGATCACTGTGACTATTTTCACAGTATTTGTACAGTATTTAGTTTGCTTTCTGGCTTCATTTTTCATAGTTTTTAGTGTGATGTTAAGTTTAGTAATTTATTTTTTTCAGTGTGTAATCTGCTGTTACTCTTATTCAATAAAAGTTTGTTCATGTCTGATATTGTATGTTCATCTCTAGAATAATAATTTGGCTATTTTTAAATTTTTCAATTATCTCCTTGCGATGTTAATGCTTTTGTTAAATCATTTAGTCACTGAACATGTTTGTTGTAGTATTTTTTAAAGTCCTTGACTGTAAATTCTATTATCAATGTCATTTCAGGATCTATTTTAATTGGCTCTTTGATAGAGTCACATGTTCATGCTTTTTTATATATCTAGTATTTGTGACTGGATGCTAAAACTTTGAATTTTATGTTAATGGATGCTGTGTTCTGTTTCAATTTATTTTCCTAAAAGAATGTTAAATGTTTTATACAACAATCTGTTGTCTTTTTTTGAGACATTTTTAAGCTGTACGAGCAGGTGTCTAAAGTAGATTTTACCTCTGAGGTTTCTCCCAAATGCCCATGTACTGAAAAAGAACCTGCTCCACACTGTGACTATTTGGAACTCTTCTGTCTTCCTGGTTTGGTCTCTGGGAACGTTCAGCTTGACATTCCCCAATCATTCTCTTAGCAACATTAAGGACTTTCACTGTAGATACCCACAATCTAGTGTTTAGCTATAAAATCAAGAAGACTTTCTCACTGAGGAAAGAAAAACAAACACTAGAAGATATGACATATAGGCAACATATAGTAATGAGCCAGAAGGAAATGATAATTATTCACAATTACTTTAAATGTGAATGGATTAAAATTTCCAACTGAAAGGCAGAGAGGTTGGCATGCTGAGAGCCGTCCTACTATAGGTTACAACATGGGAGACTGAGGAGCAACACCCCTTGTTCAGCTAGGCTGTGGGGGGATCTCACGTGCGTGGCACAGCTCTGTGAAAATTCCTGTTTGTTCACCTTTGGTTGCTTGACAAGGCTTCCCAGAATTAAACAGCCTCACCTTTTAGCTTGGTATAGCTTTGGGAAATTCCAAGGGCCCTGGAGTTTCTCAAAGCTCATGTTAAAATACATCAAAATTAACTGGTTCATTTAAAGGGTATTGCCAGTACTAAAGGTGTTTTTGATGAATGTTCCCAGTATGGGTTGTCTTGATTTAATTTTGTTGTTGATCTTTCCTGTTAGTGGTGTGTGCATTGACCCATAATTTTATAAGAACTGGCTCTATAGTTCTGATCATGCTTTTATGCATGTGGAATGAAGTTATTGTGTTAAATTTTTATAAATCCATGACCCTGGGGAGATGGTAGGTCTGAGTGCAGTGATGTTTACAACTAATTGATCACAATCAGTTTCTGATTTCTTTGTTTCCACTGCTTCACTTGACTCACCAAGTACAAATAATTCTGGGATTGAAATGACAAAGTGTATTTTAACAAACTTAAGAAGGGTCATTTAACTTTTCACTTTGTCCCCTGTACTGTTCCCAGAGTCCATTGGCAGAGAAATAAAAGGTTTCATTATAAAGATAAATAAGTAAAATATTACAAAAATACATACAAGTTTTGATATTAACAGGTTTGTTTTAGGTTAGTTTATAATTTATAATCATTTAACAGTAATAGAGATTTATTGTTATATTTTATTATATAGAATCATGATATAAGTAATATGGTTTTAGTCAGTTAAGAATTAACATAGTTGATATAAACATAAACATCATTAAATTGTTAAACATAAGTATAAGTAAGATTAATAGAATTTAAGTTTACATATAAGTTAAGAAGGTTAAGAATTATGGTTAAAACTAAAAGACTGATGCTTTTTAAAGCCAAGCATGCTGTTATTGTATAGTTTCCTGGCCACAAGCCACAGACTTTGGGGTGAACTCTTGATGCATGAGTGGATGTTTTTATCAAAGCATGAGTGCTTTGGAACATTTTGACATTTTCTTTTTCAATAGAAATGAAATAAGAAAAGTTTTGATTAAAAGATAAATCATATGTAAAAGATTAACTAAAAACATATAAATAAAGCAAGATTCATATGGTTGTTGTCCACACTTGCACTAGACATCTGTGGTCCATGTCTTTCTTTTTTCACCGAATCCACACCACCTATTCAGGCCCAACGAATCCTGTGGAGCTGGACTCCAGCATTGGCAGAATAAATTTAATTAAAAAACAATGTGATCCAACTCTATGCTGTCTTGAAGAGATTCTCTTTGTTTACACTTTTGTTTTAAGTTCAAAAAATAAAAATAAAACATAATTGGGAAGACATCTGAATAAAAAAGAAAAAAAAAACTGTCAGAAACTAACACATCATTTGCTAATATAAATTTTGTTAAGTGTTCTTAGGGGGAGAAATATGTGATTCTATGGAATCACTTAAAGAAATGTTAAATGAGAAGCAAAGAATATTGATAAAGAAGTGAATTTAATTGAGATCTAAATTATGACATATAATTTGGCTGAACATAAAAAAAAAAACAACTGATTTAGCTGTGTGCTTTAATTAGTCTTTATTCTGGAATCAAAAGAAAGCAAATATATTTATATATATATATATATATATATATATATTATATTTTCAAGTGACATTTTCCTGTATCATAGATTACTATATTAATATTCCATATTATTAAACTAAATACAAAAATTGTATTGATTCTTAAAGACCCTGTAGAAGGCATTCTGTACTTCTTTGTTTCTTAAGCTGTAGATCAAGGGGTTAAGCATGGGGATCACTAAAGTGTAAAACACAGATGCCATTTTATCAGTATCAAAGGAGTGAGTGGATTTGGGCTGCACGTACATGAAGAGTAGAGACCCGTAGAACACAACCACCACTGTCAGATGAGAACCACATGTGGAGAAAGCTTTTTTCCTACCCTCTGTAGAGTGCATTCGACATATGGCTAAGAGAATTATCACATAAGATATAAGGACTACCAGGAGGGAGGAGATCAAATTAAATGCTGAAAATAGAATGATCAACAATTCTATTAATCGTTCATTGGAACAGAGCATAGGTATCAAAGGGACATCATCACAGTAGAAATGACTGATGATGTTAGAGCCACAGAAGGTTGATGTAAAAATCTTAATAGTGAACATCAGAGCCTGAAAGGCACTGTAGAGGTATGGAATGCCCACCAGCACATGACAAAGTCTCTGAGACATGATAACATTGTAGAGCAGAGGGTTACAGATGGCCACGTAGCGGTCATAGGCCATGGCTGACAAGATGAAAAATTCACTGATGATGAACAGAAGGAAGAAAGCCAGCTGTGTAGCACATGCATAATAAGAAATAGTATTTTGTTCCACAACAAAATTTACCAGCATCTTGGGACAAATCACAGTAGAATTACCAAGATCAATGAAAGCCAGGTGTCTAATTAAAAAATACATAGGAGTATGCAGACAAGAATCCACCTTGGTCAAAATGATCATGCCCAGGTTGCCCACCACTGTGATCACATAGATGATGAGAAAGACACCAAGAAGGGGAAGCTGCAGCTCAGGCCGCCTTGTGACTCCCATCAGAACGAATTCGGTCAGCACTGTTAAATTTTTTTGTCCCATTTTATCCAGCTGTCTCTTAGAGAAAGAAACAGAGGTTTTATTATTAGATGTTTCATGAAGTGTCATCTAAACAAATTTTAATATTAGTAGATATAATTGAAAAATTTATTCATAATAGATAATAAAAAAATAATAATTCTCACATCTGATTTTGAAATAAAACAAACCACATAATCTCATACTTCCTCAAATAGGGATCCATGTTATATATGCACTGACACAAAATAGATTAATTTCTAAATAAGACCAGGAATGTTTGAAGCAGGTTCATTGATAACAAAACTATATGGATATTAATATAGAAATATTAGACTTTATCTTATCTATACAAGAACATCACAGTTTTTCTTTAATACACTTCTATATTTATCTGAGAATTCTGGTGGAATTAAGATATTCTTAAAGAGAGATCTAGAAATAACACCAAGGAAGTGTAGCTTAAATAGAGAGTCTCTCATTTGCACCTCGAAGGTCTTCGGTGGGATTTTACCAATGCACTCACAAAATTATATGTCTCAGAAAAATTACAAATGTAAGATAGATTAGCCATGAACAATTAAGCCCATATTCTCTTTCTATTTTAAATTCCAGTCACAGTTCAACTGATAGCAGTGTGCATTGGCATGTCTCCAAGCATTGTCAGTTTCATCTAAGGGAGGATTGACTTAATATTACTTTATTAGATGTTCATGATGTATATTTATATGGTTGAAAATCAATGACATTCATCTTTGAATAATGCTCTCTATTCTGATTTAAAAATGTATAATAAGAATACTTCTATAACCCATTATAATGTAATTATTTTTTGAATTTCATCAACTAAAATATTTTACTGATAAATTTTATAATGTTTAAAGTCTTGAGTTTGTTTCCAATTGAGATTTTAAAATTATTTTCCATTTTACATATGTTTATTTTTATATCTCAACTTGCATGTATATTTTTTTCTTTAAAAAAAACAAATTTGTATAAGCTTCAAGGCACAGATTATCTGAATCTCTACCTGCTAAAATACGTAGTTTCTGTCAATATTTACGGATTTTGAGTATTTTATTTCCGCAAATTTTGAAGAAATAAAGAGAGATTTTCAGTGATTTATCTCCCCTAATAAATCTTTATGGAGCCAATAGGGTGTATAAGGCATTTAATGTTGTTTTTTGAACATTGAAATTTCATTATATATTAGTAAATAATAATTCATTTTTGGAATTGAACAAGGGAGAATCCATGGAGTATAATGCTGTGACTAAAAGTATTTTAGTGAAAAGTACTTCCTCCTTTATTTGATAATAACTACATTGGAAGTGAATAAAAGAATGTAGCACTACACTGATTGGAAATAGTGAAGGTGCTTTAGCCTGCTCTGCTTGGATTTCCTTCCTGTCACATTCAGTTTCTCCTCACTAAAAATCTGAAACACTGTAAGCATAATTTTCAATGGGAGGAGTAATTGAAATTTAAAATACCCAGGTAGATAACATGCAAGAGAGACTTATTGTAATGGAATGCCAGCTTAGCCTGCATGACTATCAGTAGAAATTCCTGGGAGCCCTTTGTAAGTTGTGTAGCAGCTGCAAGGCATAGCCAGCTTGTAGCGGTTGGTAGCAATTCTAGGAATCTGCTCATTATTGGTGTACATTTTTCCAGTCTGATACAGGGGATGGGGACAGGGAGGAGTTTAGTACTGGAATTGGTAGCAGCTCTGTCTCTTCTTCCTAAATGAAGCTGTATACACTTTCTCTACCCCCCTTTCAGGTCTCTTCCTCTTCCACAAATAAAGCCATAAGCCTATCCCCTTTCAAAAACTTTATCTTGAACATGCTGTGTTGCAGAACCTGCTAATATAGGGTTTCATGGTAGAATGGGAGATGTGGAGATGCACAGGGCTGAGAAAGAGAATCAGAATTTCAGTATCAGTCCTACAACCTTGAAAGCTTTTATGTTTTGCTAAGAATTATTCTAGTGTTTATTGCATCTACTTCTGTTTTCACTGTCAGTTATTACCTACCTCTGGAAGAGTTCTTGATTCTTTTACCCTGACTATTCTTGTGTGAAAAGATATTTCTAATACTTTAAAAACATCTAATTGTGTATACATTTTAATAGAAGTAACAGGATATAAAAATTATGCAAAAGAATAACTGATTTTTCCGTCTGTAAATGAGACAAATTCAATTAGGAATTACTTGGGGTCCGTAAAAGTTAAAATTCATTACATTCATTTTTCAGTCTACTCAATCAGTTTGTAATACCAACTGTTAACAGAAGAAAACAAAACAAATAAAATACCAGGCCTAGTTGTAGGTAAACCAGCAAGAAAAACAAACAATGAAAAAATCAGCAAGATTGTGCAATGAGACATCGTTACGTAAAGAATTCTTGAAGTTTGTAAAATATTGCGTGGGAAATACTTGTCTTAAAATACTATTTTTCAAATATAACATTATATCTGTTCTTAGGAAAATAATATTTGTTATTTGATAAATATCACATTAGACAAATGCTACTTTTTTATTTATCTAAAAATCAGTTGTAGCTAGACATCTAGATATTTTATCTGGAAATCCTAATGTTAATAGATTCTAAATAATGAGATCAGTGATGAATTTTTCAGGTATTTCTAAATTCCTTTTCACTTGTGATATCCAAATTCCATGATCAATTCTCACCAATCAGCAGATGTAGAGCACATATTCAGTTCATACAATAGTGTCCTGATATTATCCTACTCCACAGAACCCTGTGATCATAGGGAATACTGAGTTTTAGTGATGTATTTCAAGGAGTCAGCTGTCAGGGTCCAAAAGAGCATGTACAGGCAGTATTTAGGAGTAATAGGAAATTACCAACACCCAGGTAATCATCAAAATTAGTGACAATCATGATTCTTATTCACTCACCTTTAATGAAGAATCAAGTTTTCTTCTCCGAAATTGCACCTGCTTTTTCTTTGGATGGGAACGATTTATGGTTTTCCTCCCTCTTTGGGATGCTCCCTGCGGAAGTAGCATGTAATTCTTTCAGATGACTGTGTGTAAATCATCTGAGAGTTTGAAAAAATTTGGTTTGATGTGCCTACTAATTATCTAGGACTCCCTATATATTCCCCAGTGAGAGACAATTTGAAGAAAGGAGTAAAACAATGTAAATGAACTGTACAGTTCCATGGAGACCTACTTGATGTAATGTTACCCACACACTCAATTAGATTGAGTCAACAGTTAACACTGAAAATTATTTTGGCAGTAGCTTTATTCCAGTAACATTGTAACAGTTCCAAAGTCATGATGATATTGTAAGTGATATTATCATTATCACAGACTTTTTTTTCTTTTAATTTATTTTTTATCTGAAAATGTATACTGGGCACTAGGTTAAAAATATAACTTTTAATCCATACAGGTGGGACAAATATTAGTATTCCCATACTCAGAAAACACCAAGCTTAGATAACCTGTGTAATTTTTCAGAAGTCACGTAATCAATAAATAAAATATTTGAATATAGGGCTAATTCTCTAAGTAAGAGTCATATTTGCCTTTTATATGGCAAATCCATAACAATCATTGCAATGCAATGTCTTACTACAATGACTATCTAACTGAAACATTTCCTGAGCTAACATCACTGTTAAATAATATTTATTACCACCTCATTGAGAGTAAAATCTATTATGAAATGTTTCATATCCTCTCTCATAATACTTTATCCATGTCTTCTTCCTCTATTACTTCCATGTGTGTAAGAATTGAGAAAAAAATTTATATGCAGTGGAGCATGAATCTAAATTTTACAAATTGATGAGCAACCACAACATTGCAGCATAATATTTCATTACATCAACATACCACAATTGTTTAACCACTCTCCAATGGATGAGTATTTGAGTTTTGGGTTATTATGAAAAGCCTAGCATAAAATTTCTGTACAAATATATTTTTAGACATATGCATTAATTTCTCTTTTTATAGGCTGATGAGTAGAATTACTGGATTTTTATGGTAATTGTATACTTAATATAAAATGCTAGCTTTTCAAACTTATTCTAGCATTTTATATTTCTATCAGCTATGTATGAATCTCCTTTTCTCCACTTCCTTGCCAATGTTTGTTGTATATAGGGGTTTTTTTTGTTTCTTTTTCATTTCTGTTATCTTTTGTTGTATTTTTTTTTTTTTTGTTTGCTGGCCAGTATTATTTTTAATTCAGAAATTGTAATTGGTGTAAAATGCTACCTCGTTGTGAATTTAATTTTCATTTATCTGATGACTAATGATAATGAACACTATTTCATTTCCTCATTGGCCATTCACATATTTTCTTTTGTAAAGTAGCTGAACTTTTGCTCATTTTTAATTGGGTTATTTTTCCTTTTTATAAATTTTTAAAAATTATATGTGCTTGAGATAAAACTACATTTTCAAACTTCTTTTCTATGAGATTTATTGTTTTGACATCTATATTTACTTTTTTGACCAAGAACCTTCAGTGACACAAAGCAGAGTGTGCTACCAAGGGGAGTGGGTGGGGAAAAAAAGTTTCTCCTACCCAAGACCTTCACAAATACAAATAAGTTTTGATGCAGGGGATGAGGTGGATAGAAGAAGCCAAAATGCTAATGAAACTATAATCCACATGTAGGTTCACATAAACATACTAAGACTGAGAAGAGAGCATGAAAACTAAGAACCAACCTCTGTTCTCACATTGAGACTTGCTCTAATTTTCCTGTAGATTTGAATGCCAAAAAAAATGTAGTATTCAATCTTGGACTTGGTGTTATTTTATCATGAAAATGTCTGAATTCTGCTATATTCCTCTTAAGACCATTGGGGTTTTTGTTGTTGTTGTTTGTTTGTTTCATTCTTTTTTAAAATGTTGAGTGGAAATTAACGTAGTTTGGTTCAAGTTGCAAATTCTGTCTATTGGTGGCAATACAAATATCAGTTCATAATTTTAGCCTTCCTTGGGCTACTGGAATCTTCCCCATGCTTACA